CCCAGAATGAGCAGAACATCCTGTCTGTCGTCTCGCAATCTTTGTCCCCAGAATGAGCAGAACATCCTGTCTGTCATCTCGCAATCTTTGTCCCCAGAATGAGCAGAACATCCTGTCTGTCGTCTCGCAATCTTTGTCCCCAGAATGAGCAGAACATCCTGTCTGTCATCTCGCAATCTTTGTCCCCAGAATGAGCAGAACATCCTGTCTGTCGTCTCGCAATCTTTGTCCAAGGCTGTCAGCTCAGCCCAACACCCCAACCTCAATGTGGTACCATCCTACCCCACAGAGCAGTTGGACTACAAGGACTGTGTGCCCCTCCCCGAGTCACCCAAGCCGGGGGTCAAAATGTGTGTCTACTCGCGAGATGTAGACCGTGTGGTCTCGGGCGTTATTAAGGTGACAATCATCATCATCATCATCATCATCATCATCATCATCATCATCATCATCATCATCATCATCATCATTTCCCCGTAAAATCCACACAAAAATGTGATGCAGCGTGGTGAAATCAGGCTCCCGTCAAAATAATCAAAGTGAAGAAACTTGCATTTTGATTGTGAATTTTTATCAACATTCTGTTTTTTGGCTCAACGGCTTTCATGCCCACTAAAAAACTCATTTATGTGTGGATTTTTCTGAAAAACGTTGATTAAAAGCACAAAAGATGTAAATTTTCAGTTACCACGGACTCTTAAACTAAGGAAATAACTAATCTTTGGCGGCCATTTTCTCACTTATTTTACCTCTGAAAACAGGTGACCCCCACCTCCTTCATTCGCGAATATCTCGACTTGTATTCAAGATAAATGGATACTATTTTCATCCAAATAAAGACAAGTGAACAAGCTTTATGATGATACCAATACCTCTACATGCCCCAAAATTGACGAGAGCCTGATTCCACCACGCTGCCTCACAAATGTGTTTTAAATGAACCCCAAAGGTATTGAGAAACAAAACACAAATTAGAAAAACATTTCCAAACGACAGAAAAAGCCAGTTTCTTCGATGTCATTATTCTAACGAGCGCCTGGTTTTACCACGACGCCTCACATAATATGTCACGACGCGGTGAAATCAGGCGCTCGTCAATTTCTCGGCATATGGAGTTATTGGGATCATCTGAAAGCTGATTTATTTGCCTTGCTTCCAAGAAAAGAAATATATCCATTGTTATATCTTGAATAGAACTCCAGACATTTGCCACTGAAGGAAGCGAAGTCACCTGGCTTCAGTGGTGAAATTTGCGAGAAAATGGCCGCCAAGTTTGGTAACTCCAATAGCTAAAGAGTCTTTGAAGACTGGAAAATGACATATTTTATCCCTTTAAAGGTTTTTCCAGTAAAATGGACAAAGAAAAAAAATAGCTTAACCACAAAAAAGCCCATTTCTTTGATTTCATTATTTTGACGAGTGCCTCATTTCCCCACTCTGCCTCACATTTCGTCATTTTATTAAATAGACTTTACAACTTGCTCACCCCCTTCCCCCCTCCCACCGCCCCCAACCGTTTTTTCTCATTTCAGAGAGGAAAACTGTTCGAGAAAGACCTGGTCCTACAAATGGCGGAAGCTGTGAAGGTAAAGACCAACAATACCTGAGTCAATGTTCGTTCCTTACACGATATTTTACTTTGAACAACGCTGAGGATTTACAATTCAAACGTGAAGTCGGTCCTGTTGTATGGATGTGAGACATGGAACGCATCACAGACTTGTATAAAGAGGATCCAGGTTTTCTTGATCAGGTGTCTAAGAAAGTTACTGAGGATCAGATGGACAGACAAGGTCACCGATGTGGAAGGGTTAAGGAAAACAAGACAGATCCCAGTCTCACAGACTATATACATGTATCCCTAAGTGTCTCACGTATCTATATGCATGTGTCTCTAAGTGTCTCACGTGTCTTTATTAGTGTCCCACGTGACAGTTACTTATGTCCTTGTGTCTCACGTGACAATTTTGTGTGTCTCTGAGTGTCTCACATGACTGCTTTGTGTGCCTCTGAGTGTCTCACGTGACTATTTTGTGTGTCTCTGAGTGTCTCACGTGACTGCTGTATGTGTCTCTGAGTGTCTCACGTGACTGCTTTGTGTGTCTCTGAGTGTCTCACGTGACTATTTTGTGTGTCTCTGAGTGTCTCACGTGACTACTTTGTGTGTCTCTGAGTGTCTCACGTGCCCGTTGCAGGATGACCCGACCATCCAGGTCATAGACATGGGCGCCAACATCGGGGTGTACACCATGTTCGCTGCCGCCTGCGGGAAGACAGTCCTGTCTGTGGAGATGTTGCCCGCCAACATTCACCAGATCCAGAACTCTCTGGCGGTCAGTGGACTCAGCGAACAGGTCAC